ACTGCAGAAAGGAGAAGTTGACCTGCGCGTGGGAAATGGAGCAAGAGTTCCTGCGTTAGCTGTAGGGACATACTTCTTACCATTGCCTTCGGGCTTAGTATTAGAATTAGAAAATTACTATTTTGTTCCCGCCATTACTAATTATTTCTATTTCGTGTTTGGACATGAATGATTTTTCAATTAATGTTAAGAACAATCGTTGTTCGTTTTATAAAGATGAGATCTTTTATGGTTGTGGTGTGTTGCAAAATGGAATTTATATTCTTGATACCAAGTCGTCTATTATGAGTATAGAAAATAAAAGGCATAAAAGTGATAATCTAAATAATACATACCTGTGGCATTGCAGACTGGGTCATATTAACGACAAACACATTTCAAGGTTACATAAAGATGGATACTTGGGGTCAACTGATTTTGAATCATTTGACAAATGCGAGTCGTACCTATTAGGCAAAATGACCGAGTTCCCTTTTACTGGAAAATGAGAAAGAATCACAGAATTGCTGGGACTAATACATACTTGATGTATGTGGACTCATGTCAATAACCGCCAGAGGTGGTTTCTCTTATTTCATCATATTCACTGATGATCATTCTAGATATGGTTATGTGTATCTGATGAAATTCAAGCATTAAGCACTTGAAAAGTTCAAGGAATTCAAACTTGAAGTAGAGAAATAGACTGGTAAAAATATTCTCATGCTGAGATCAGATCGAGATGGAGAATATTTAAAGGGAGAATTTTTAGATTATTTAAAAGAGAATGAGATTCTCTCGCAGTGGACTCCGCCATATACACCACAACCTAATGGTGTATCTGAATGGAGGAATCGCACTTTGTTAGACATGGTGCGATCTATGATGAGCCATGCAAACATCCCAAAATCATTTTGGGGCCATGAACTAATTGCTGCGTGCTACATACTTAATCGTGTCCCATCTAAATAGGTTGACAAAACTCCGTACGAGCTATGGAGAGGAAAAAGACCAAACTTATCTTACATGAAAGTTTGGGGCTGTGACGCTTATGTAAAGTGAAATGAATCAGATAAGTTTGAGGCTAAATCTGATAAATGCGTATTTGTGGGATATCCAAAAGAGACAATTGGATATCAGTTTTATAATCCCGTTAAGAAGAAGGTGTTCTCTCAAGACATGCCATATTCCTAGAGAAATAGTTTATTCTAGGAGAAGGTAGTGGGATCAAACTAGAACTTGAAGAAGTTCAAGAATCTACAGATACAGTTGACCAATTAGATGACCCTGAGCCTGATTCTACACCTGTTGACGGACAGACACTTGATTAGGATGTAGAGAACCCTGAGGACACTCTAGCTCAGCGTAAATCAAGTAGGATCATTCGACCTCCCAGAAGGTACGAATTCACGATTACTAATCAAGTATTATTAGTCGAGGATGATGAACCTACAAATTACGCAAAAGCGAAGTCAAGTGTTGACTCGAAGAGATGGCAAGAAGTCATGGAATCCGAAATGAACTCAATGTATGAGAACAAGGTTTGGACCTTGGTCGACCTTTCAGGTGGGATAAAACTGATAGGTTGTAAATGGGTTTACAAGAAAAAGGTCGATGTGGATGGAAACGTCCATACATGCAAAGCAAGGTTAGTAGCGAAGGGTTACACACAAAGACAAGGCGTTGACTTTGATGAAACTTTTTCGCCTGTAGACATGCTAAAGTCTATTCGGATTTTGCTTGCAATAGCTGCATACCATGATTATGAGATATGACAAATGGATGTCAAAACTGCTTTCTTTAATGGAAACTTACAAGAGGAGGTGTACATGACACAACTTGAAGGTTTTGAATCCAAATGAGCCAACAAAGTATGTAAGCTAAATCGATCCATTTATGGATTAAAGCAAGTCTCTAGGAGCTAGAATCTTTGTTTTGATGAGACAATCAAAATGTTTGATTTTATCAAAAATGAAGATGAACCGTGTGTTTACAAGAAGACAAGTGGGAGCGTGGTCGTATTCCTAATATAATATGTCAATGACATATTATTAATGGGAAACAACATCCCAATGTTTCAATCGATAAAATTATGGTTGTCAAATAATTTCTCCATGAAAGATATGGGAGAAGCAGCATATATCTTAGGAATCAAGATCTATAGAGATAGATCTAAAAGATTACTAGGTTTATCCCAATCTTCGTACATCTTGAGAAGATTTAATATGAAAGAGTCTAAAAGATGTTTATGTCCTATGTCGCATGGGATTTACCTCTCAAAAGATATGTGTCCTAAAACACATGATGAAAGGAGACGCATGGATAAGATTCCTTATGCTTCAGTGATAGGATTTATCATGTATGCGATGCTATGTACGAGACCAGATGTTTCATATACTCTAAGTGTTACGAGCAGGTTTCAAGCAAACCTTGGTGAGAAACACTGGATAGCGGTTAAGAACATTCTTAAGTACTTGAGAAGGACCAAAGATGTGTTCTTGATTTATGGAGGAAATGAACTGAATATTCATGGCTATACTGATGCTAGCTTTCAAACTAACAAAGATGATAGCAAGTCTCAATCAGGATATATGTTTACTCTCAACAATGGAGCGGTTAGTTGGAAAAGTTCCAAATAAGAGACAACTGCTGATTTAACAATAGAAGCCGAGTACATTGCTGCTTCTGAAGCAGCGAAGGAAGCTGTCTGGATCAAGAAGTTCATTAATGAACTTGGAGTCGTTCCTAGCATTGTTGATCCCATACTTTTGAATTGTGATAACAATGGAGCCATCGCACAAGCGAAGGAACCGTGGTCTCATCAACGATCCAAACATGTGTTAAGGCAATATCATCTCATCAGAGAGATTATACAAAGAAATGACGTAACAATAGAGCGAGTTCCTACAGATGATAATATTGCAGATCCATTGACAAAGTCGTTGTCACAACAGAAACATGATCGTTTTGTGGACGCTTATGGTATTAGATACATGAGTGATTGGATCTAGTGCAAGTGGTAGTTTGTAAGTGTTATGCCCTAGATTCAATCGATTTAGGTTGTAAACACTTTTAATATGTTTAATGCATTTAATTTTGGCAAGATCTATTATTTATTTAAATTAATGTTGTGATAAATAATATTAAATATTAGAGTCCAAAGATCCAAGTTTAAGTGATTAGTTAATCACAATGAGTTGTGATTGTGAGATACAAATTACGTATAATTGGATCTTGAATAAACCGTGGTTGTAAATAATAATGAAATATGAACAAATAGACCATCACATGTGACATTTCTTACTTGTGAATTAAGTAATTGATCTCACAAGTTAAAGTGTGGTGACACTTAAATGAACAAGTGGATGTTTTGTTATAGAACAAAACATTGGAGACCCGCTAAGAGATTCCACATGGATAGCTATCTGAGTGTCAGTAGTTAATCTCTAACGTTCGTTAGTGGAATTGGTCCTATGAATTGAGGTCATCATAGTGTCTTGTATGAGGACATTCATGCTTTGACGGTGTTGGATGTTGCTCTGCCAAGGGCCGCTAATACGACATCGTTTAGGTATGTCAAGAACCATATGAAGGTTGTGAATGATCAATAGAGGATTCGTCACTCTTATATAGTAAGAAATTGTGATCTGTATTTCATTCAATTAAGTCAATAACGAAATTCTTGGTCAAGGTATACATATAAGTCGAAAAGGAGTTTTGACTCATATTGACTTAATAGTAGAATGAAAGATATGATCGATAATCGAGATTAACACACTTCCATATCCCGTAGTTGATTGGATCATATTGATGAAGGGATTATAATTTCATGGTAAACGGAGAGTTTTGGTTTTGTCATATCATATGACATTTTCCGTCATATGTGTTGCCCCGATATATTGCTAGATGTCAATCTGGGACGGCGAGTGTGAATTTGTGATAAATTAAAATTGTGTTTAATTTATCAATTTTGATTAGATCAAAATAATATTTCACGTCGTTCAATTAATTAATTTATCCAACGATTGTTAAATTAACTAATTGGCAAATTGCAATCTTCCAATTCTCTTTTGTGTGCGACCCATTAGGTTTCTGACCACGATGTCTAATTAATTGGATTAATTAATTCACGGACCGAGTTTAATTAAATGGATTAATTAAATAATGGACCGAACTGGGCCGAACCCGTTTGAGTTTATATAAATACATGACTAGGGTTTGAGGTTCATAAGATTTTCATTATTCTTGCTGGCACAAGAGGAAAAACCCTAGTAATTGCAATCTATTCTCTGTATGGATTTCATTGGAGGCTGGACAAGTGGACAGCTGTGAGAGACAGATTCAAATTGTTGGAAAAGAATAATACAAAGGAGTTTGCAAAATCAAGAAAAAGGTACATTTTTCATCACAGTTCTTATCTAAATACAAAACTGAATTCTGAATGGGAATTGAAACTGTTTATTTTCGCTGTGCATGTTTAAGTAAATTCCCAACAGGAACAACATGGGATCCCACAAAACGTATGATTAAAATTAATATTTGATTTTAACTAAATAGAAATAATACTTTTTAAAGTTACCCGAACAAGCATAGAATGAATTACTGAAAGTGTCCACATTACATGTCTTCAAATATCGATGTGGGTACTACTCTTTGCAGATAATAGTGAATTATTACAGACTGGATAACGACTTAGCAAGATTATTTATTTATTTTTGCCATGCAGCTATGGACCGTTATCTGTTTGTCAGATTTGATACCGATGGATACCTTTGGTCACCAAACTTATTCATCGGTTCTCACTGCTGGGCTTCTTGTAACAAGACTTGTTCCGCCAAACGTTCTGTACTAAAGTTGTGTCTGTGTCCTACTTTCCATGTACAACGTTGTGTTGGTCCTTGGTGTAATATAGTCATATAGATATTGTAAATCGAGATTTGATGCTGTTTTACTCAGCTGGCAAAACTTAAATAACTGACCAGGAAGCTTGAGTGTTTCTTATGTGAGGTGACTAACGACAATGAAAAAGTTTTATGAACCTGCATTATATGTTTGGGAAGCTGCCAAAAAGATAGAACCAGCCCCAGATCCACCATGACAATTTTCAATAATCACATTGTCCGAATGGTCATTTCCCAGCACTTCCCATACACTATTATGCAGATAGTTTCTGAATACTCTATAGTGTTCGTAAAGTCCACCTTCAATTGTAACAACACTCTTCTTGTTTGCAATTCTTCCAAGCTTTTTAACAATTCCCACAATGCCGGCTCCCACGAGTCGAGCTCCACGTTCTGCTACGACGTCGCACACTTCTGCGACTAATTCTCTAGCCATTTGAGTCGAATAGTTTATCTGAAACATTAAACTTATTAGTCTATATTACGACAAAATATATTAAAATAAGACGTACGGGGGAAAGGTTGTGTGTCGCCATCTTTCAATCGTATTGGATTCCTTACACTAAACCCTATCTATTTGTACGATTGAAAATGGCTAATAGAAAGCCAGCTCATAGTAAGCAAGAACGCTATGAAGGACTCACTTAAAAAGATAGAGAATAAAATTTACCTCGAAGATTTCCTTCAGTTTCTCATCCACCAATTCGAAATCCTCTGATGTGTCTTGGTGCATGGCAGCCATATCTGGCGATCTGTTAGATATTAATTAGGGGATGTATGATAGACATTTTTAGGTAAAAATTCATTTTAGAATAGTAAATTGACGTGAAATGTGTGATTGAGAAATAAGGAAAAGTTTTTGATTTACGTGTAATATTATTTTAATAAAGAATGTGTAGTTGAAAAGAAGAGAGAGAAAAATGCATTTTGAAAAAATTGGCTACCAAACGGGGCCTTAATGTAAATTTTCTTGCTTGTAATATCTTTTTGTTATTCAGTAGTTTACATGTGTCTTAAATTCTGGCACCACAACTGTACATTGCATGTTGGCGTCAAAACATCCTTGAAGAATTGGCTCGATCGGCACCATTCGGTCAACATTCTCAATCAGTTGTCTAGTTGTCTTACATGTCCTCGTCGTCCACTAATTCCATCATGTAACTCATGCGAACAAGAGTCATAAATAAATTTGTCATTTCTCCTCCAAAAAGAGTTGTGGTCCATTGAGTCTGGTCTCTTCACGTGTTGAAGAGCCGTCTCCAGTTATTCCAACAATAAATATATGAAGAAATTATAACATACCTCAACAAATATGGAGTTGCAAGCTTAGGTGGAACCCATTCTCCGAATAAAGCTGTTTCTTGAGCCATCTTGAGCAAAACCCTCCTAACAATCTCTCCTAGATACATTCCTGAAATAAGCTTTTCAAACATCTGGGCCCCCGGGGGGGGGGGGGGGGGATATAATTTCATCAATCAATTAATTAATTAATTTTGAAATGGCAATTAATTGACTGCAGTGATTTTACCCTGCTACCAGGATTTGAGCTCTCAGCATCTAAAGAGGCATCAAACTCTGTAAAGGGGAGATGGGAGGAACTGAAATTTCCCCATTGCATATTTATAATCTGCAAAAATAAAAAAAATAAAAATTAATCACATTATACTTTGTCCCAATTGCTTGGTTTTATTCGAATGGAATGTACTGTAGTTGCATGTTTGGTACGATATGACTCAACACCAATAAACAAGTTTTTGACCCCTTAATTTTTTTTTTCATTGTTCTTCGCTGCCTAACATTTCATAAGTATTAATTAGTTAGTGACCATTTCTCCAGAATTGGGTGATTGGCCATGCCATTTTGGAACTTGTTCTGCTGATTCTACATATCCAACATCTGTTCCCATTCCTAAAGTTATTGCAGCCACATTCTCTTTGCTGTAGTATATTGCTCCAGCCAAATCTCCTGTAGTATCATTAGCCTGCATAAATAAATTTTCAGTTAACTTTTAATGTTTTTTCCTTCCCTGCCTGGATAGAGATGCAATTATATAACAAGTTCTGAAGCCAAAAATAAAAATAATGTTTTGTTATTGCAGAACTAACAGAATTTATACAATGCTCATAAGGTCTAGATTCGAGTTCTATTGTCATCCAATTATGAAAGCTTGCACGTTTCAAGTCTTTGATTAAAATTATGATTTGATTGCCAGTTGAGAGAATATGTTCAAATTAAGCCCTTGTTTGGTGAGGGATTAAAATCAAAATTTTTAGTAGATTTTGATAAAAGTTGATGAGATGTGTGATTGAAAAATTGTGGGTCCCATAAAATTTGTAGTTAAAAATTAGTTGTTGATTTTGACTTAGATTAAAATCTGAATTTTAATTTCTACTAAATAGAGGCTAATTATGTTGACACAAATAAATTTGTCCTTAATTAGTTTGACAACATATGCTTTTAGATCACATGATTTTGAAGTCTAAGCACTTAAGAGATGAGATAAAAATAACGGTTTTAAGTACAACTTACTAGTGCAAAAACCCGCAAGTCTATACCATGCTTCTCCAAGGCTCGATTGATGTCATTCGTCAATTCTTTGCCAACCTGAATAAATTTGCATCTTTTAAATTAGAGTAATGCTGTGTAGCTCCATTGAGGTTGAACTCCAATCTAGATGATATTAGATGATATATTAAATGAAATGTGAAATTAAGTGAGTTATTTAATTCTATCTATCAATTAATACCACATTAGCATCACCTAAACTGGAGTTATAACCCCAGTGGAACTAAATAACACCACTCTTTAAATTATAATGCTACTCGTGTTGGCATTTTTTGTATGACCACATTTAATACACAGTTATGTATAGTACTCTATACTATATAAAGCAATAAACAAGATTTTAATAGTAAATCAAGTTGACACTACAATTTCCATTTTGAGAAGTGATGGGGTAAAGAAACTCAACTATGTCATTGACCGATAAACTCCTCCATTTAATGGCAGTGCCTGAGGATCTTGCATCTTCCTCCACTGGGAATGAAACTGTGAATCCCAATTTTCTTTCTCTTGATTCTGCCTTGCCATCAATTTCACTATGTACTGAAATAAATTTGGCTAGCTCCACAGCAATCAAATCAAATAATTCCTAAATTAAGAGCGTTGATGAACTTACAATGAGAAAACGATGAAAATCGTTAGCGATAACAATGCGGTACTCTAACAGTATAATAGAAAAAAATTAATTTACTTTGGTAGAATCTCCATCCATGGCAGTCGAAGGAATTGCAACCTCTTCCCTTTGCAATTCAGAAATAGGTAAATTCTTCCCTCCAAGACTTCCTCGGATCATAAGAAAATTTGTTCCTCGTAGATTTATCCCATAATATATACCTTTCTCTTCACTGTCATCACATGCATGGACAATTATAAATAACTTGCACGTGTATATATACATATAAATAATTTCTACCTGTGCGTGCATGGAAAAAATTACGCAAGTATATAAACCCTTGATGCATGCATATATTTTAATCGTTGTGCAAACATGATTTGAAGAAATATAGTTAACGTTTTTTTAAATTTTTTTTTTTTTTTTTAGACGAGATGGTTAGCACTAATTACCCTGTAGGGAGTGGTGCGACATAGGAAACAAGCATCCCCAATATACTTTCCTCCGATGAAAGCCCAGATTCCATTTTCGAGGCCAAGTCATCGGCTATATTCCAAAGTTTAGCCACCGGAGTGGCACAATCGTTGGCGAATTTGCGAAGAAGTCGTTTTGCTTGTCTCAATCGCCGCTCTCTCTGCTGCTCCCAATGTTTCAAAAACACTGCCACACCGACTGCTGCTGCACCCACTGTTACAGCCGCCGCCGCCACCACCACCTCCTTCCTCATCTGTCTAATTTTTTTTTGTTCTTTTTTATGTTTTGGCATCTGTTTCAGCTTTATCGGCCCCGTCATACATTATTATTGAGGAGGAAACAGAATTTGCGACATTTACGTGGAGTAAACGAGTATTATGGTAAATTTCTCAAATTTGAACTCGAATTTTAATCAATTCCTAACAGAATAACGTACTTATTTTATTTTTAAGTATTTGTGTTGAAATGACTTTTTGATATCACTTCTCTTTAAACTTATTTTCAATCAAACATTCTTAAAAATATATATCATTTTTCATGTTTCCACGTAATTTTGTCCTAATTTTTAAACTCACAACTTCAATATAGATCACTTTTCAAATTGTTGGAATGGGCAGTTCGTCCATGTGGATTGACTCGACCCAGAAAAAAAAAAAAGGTTGTAGGGATTAGTTATTCTTTGAATTGTGAATAACTTCTCATTACCCATAATGCTACTTTATGAAGTGCGTGGAAATTTAATGTCTAATATGATATTTGTATGCAAGAAAAATTGAAAAGTCAATAGATCACATTTTTGAGCGTTCAATCATCTTAGAAAAGGTATTTGGATTGTGGCTAAGAAATGCCTTTCCATTTTGATAGAGTTTTAGATCATTGAGATCATAACCAACCAACTTTATATTGAATATCGTCAGTGTCACCCAATTTGATTTTATTTCACCATGATCATCGAATTTTATATAACGTTTCTCCATGATCATCAACTTTTTTTCATCTCTTTCACTAATTTTAAAGGGGTAAAATAATAACTTTAAATTATATATTAAAAAAATACATTTAAAAACCAAAAATAAAAGTGTTTTTTTTTTATCTTAAAGATAAAATAAATTTTTATTTTATTTTATTTTTCTAAGTAACATTTTTTTTAAAATAAGTTTTTATTTTATTTTGAAAAACTTTTTTTAATTAAGTTTTTATTTTATTTTAGTTTTATTTTTATTTTTTAAGGAATTTGTTTTAAAATAACTTTTTATTTTATTTTATTTTTCTAAGTAACTTTTTTTAAAACAAGTTTTTATTTCATTTTTAAATGTTCTTTTTAAATAAGTTTTTATTTTATTTTAAATTTTTTAAAAATAGTTTTTATTTTATTTTATTTTATATATATAATGCAAAATTATATTTTATTTTATATACTTAATGCAAAAACTATTTTAAAATTGTTTATACTTTGTAAAATTAGGTTTTAATAGTCTTAAATTGACTACTAGTTTTTAACAGGTCGAGTCCATTTACTTATTTTATGTCTGCATAGTTATAATCCGGCAAGAGGAAATTACACTCACAAATATTTTTCAATTTTCCATTTCAATAATCAGATGAAAAAGTTATTCTTTCAAAAATCAGGTATACCCCGATCGCACCAGATTCCACACCACGACCCACGACCCTAATTCATTTGCCTCCACAAAAAATGGTCACAACTACTTCAATACAATTTTTCCTCATTGGCACCATAATCCTCACTTCTCTCGTCTGCGGTGCATTGTCGCTCTGACGCACTGTCTAGTTATTGTTGATGATGATGATTGTTAATGCGATCTGAATGTTGGTGGTGGTGGGTGGTGGATCTAAGAGGCGGCCACATTTTGCGTGGTGCGGGATTGGTGGGGTGTGGGTGGTGTGAATTGGAGAGATGAATGGTAATTTGTGATTATTTAATTGGGTTATTGTGATCATTATTTTGATAATATGTGACAAGATAAATAAATTGCGAAAATAAACTTGATAACTTGTTATTGATAAATAAGTTTATACCAATTAATTTGATAATTTGTAAATGACAAATAGTACATATAAAAACGTGTTATTTATGGCTAAATTTGTAATTACGATCTATATTTTTTTCTTTATGATTGTGACGTTTTGTGATTTGTGATTAGCAAGTATTTGGGATCATAAATTATATGTTATTGTGATATTAAAATATTTAAGTAATACCGTCTGATTTTTAAAAGAAGACCACAATTTTTTATATATATTTTTTAATTTGAGTGTATTTTGAAACTATGGTAATTTTAAATTTTATGTCACCTCAAAATTTACAGCAAAATATTCTATTTGAACCTCTCTGCCAAAGTCAAGCCATTTACAAACTCGAGACAAACTTTTATTTTCTAGTATTTTATTACATCAACAAATAATATATAATAAAGTTTTTTAAAAAAAGCGTGCAAGTTTAAGTGGTTCTTCATAAATAGAGTTGATGACAAAAATGATGAATGTCAATAATAGAGATAAACATGTTGGAGGGTGGGGTCACACATACATGATGGGCATTATGTATGTCGAGCAAGTTTGCTCTAAAATCGTTAAATAGATGTTTTTTGGGCTCAGTTTCACATTACTTTTCTCTACCAACCAATCAGTCCAAACGATTCCAACGTACAACCAATATTTTTACCTTGGTTGCATCTCAATCTCACTCACAAAAGACAAGATAACGGTGATAATTTGCCACGAAGGCAAGGAGAAAAAACCAATGGAAGAGGGCACAAAAGGGAGGCCAAATACTCCAAGAAAGTCATTGGTTTTTGGCACCAAAGCAGCCGATCTTTGTGGAGATGACCAGCCACATTTTTCTCTTTTAAACACACTAAAAACGACTAGGATAAGCACATATATATGGGTTAGGTTAGGTTTTAAATGGACCAAGATTGAAAGCCATACAAAAGGTAATATAATTGGGTCGGGTTCAGACTTTGAAATTGGTTTTCGATTATTATTTCACTCATCCTCCAAAACCTATGAAATATATTACAATATTTAATATCATAATTCGAGATTTATTGAGTATTAAAATCCAACAATATATAACAACAAACACTCATCTTCCAAATAATTCTCTGGGAACAAATCCAACGATGAGCCCACCAGATTTTTCTTGACTACCATGCGACATTTACTGCCATACAATTCAGAGACAAGATAATCCTACTCACATGTACGTATTTTTTGTGCATGTGATGTGATCTATGCACAGATAATGTGTGGTTGTGGCACAACAATTGTGACTTGACAGAAATGCTTGTATTCCGAAATGAACTTCTGGGAAAGAAACTTCACAACGTCCACAATCAGAAATTCAATGAATGAAGATTTACCCGTGGCGGTTTGCGAGAAAAAAATCACAAAATAACAGGTGTAAAATCATTCAGGATTGAATAAGTTATGATCATTTTTTTCTTCACAGCCACTTTCTTCAAAAAAGATAAAAAATAAAAAATAAAATAAAATAATGCAGTGGAATTGCTTGGATCTGTGAGCAATAGTGACTCTGTTACCACTATAAGTTTTGCTGATGTAAAAATAACAATATTTTTTATATTGAATAAAATTATGTTTACTTTATTTATTGCATTTATTATTGAACATGTGAAATGAAAATACATGTGATCACTTGTTATAATATAAGTTGGGTACTTGCATTGAAAAGTACAATATGACACAACTTATATTTTGATAATAAATAATTTGTTCACAATTTATGTATAAGGGTTGACACCTTGTACTGGAAGATTGTAGTGTTGATCAATTCACTATTCGGGTTTGTAATTTGTCCTTATCACAGAAATAGTTGAATGTGACACTACTACACTTGGAGTGTATTGAACGGACCGCGTGTCCAATTTAATTCTATAACATGACCATGTGGAGAATTAAATTCCATTTGACCACTGTGTATTTTCATCTAAATCCTCTGACAGAATTATTTATATCTTTTCATAATTTTAATGGTTCTTAGATTCATCAATAAGTGAGATCAATTTGATTGTTCAAATATATCGATGAGTTGGAAACTTAAGAATGAGCGGAGTAGAGAACATGAATTCGTGTTGAGAATCGTCACTCAGAAAAATGGGTAGAGTGATTACTTAAATATTTTTGTTGAACAGTTAAAATCTGAGCTCAGTGTTTAGCAACAGCTAAATTTCGATATCTGTGATTAATTTATAGGACCGTTGAAGAAAATGAAACTTAGTTAGTGGGAATAATTAGAGGGGCAAAATAGTCATTTATGCTCATACCTAATTATCGAATCTCGAACGGGAATAAAATACATATATGACAGGTCAAAGGAAAGTATTGCAGATTTATTCCAAAATTTCAATCTTTTGCCTTTAGTGTAAAAAACAAAGACTAATAATTAGATTGGGTAGTTTAAGGTCGATTAGACATGATCTAATTATTGGAGTTTGGATAATATTTACCTGATCAGGTCACTGTGGTAGCTCCATAAAGTATTGGAACTTAAATACAGTAATTATAATAGTCTTGGGCTTAATTGTGATTACAATAAAGTACTTGGTTGTGACTACTATGAAAGTTGTAAACTTAATTATAATTGTAATCGAAATTCTAGGACTATATATGTAATTACATGTAAACTAATTGGAATTGAACTTAAATTAAAACTCCTACTTGGGTTTCAATTAGAACTTTTGTTTGAATGTGAAATTATTATTGTACTGAAATTGTATCATCTTTTCTATAAATAGAGAATAGGTGGATAGAAATATATTACAACACTCATAATTCATAATTCCATAGAATTCAAATTTAGAGAGAGAGAGAGAGAGAGAGAGAGAGAGAATATATTTATTTTCTTGCTTTTCAATTGTCCACTTCAAAGAATTAGTTTCTTAAATTAATTAAAAGAAGGTGCCCACACGTTAGTATAGTCTTTGCGTTGGAGAATACCATAGAAGACTTGAAAGTTTGAAGCACTAAGATTCTTACAATTAAAGGAGCTAGAAGTTCGCGAATCAGATATAATTCAAATGTTGATGATCGAACTTAGGTAAAAGATTCAAATCCTTTAATTTTGTTATAACATACACACGCACATCTAGACGATCTTGTTTATTGAATTAAAGAAATTTTTAATTTCTGGTTAATTCCGCTTTCTCATTCCAACAATTAAAACTCTCAATTCTCTTCAACAAAGATTTCGGATAACACCCAAATTCTAACACATTT